ACAGATTTTAAATTTCGATTAGCAATTATTATAAATTATAATAATATTGTTATGTCATATACTATTGCCATTAACTTATCATAATACCGGTAGCGTACGGTATAATGGTGTAAATAGCTTAAAATGAATGTATATTGTATATTAAATAATAATATAATTATTGTATTGTTACAATAATAAGTAATAACAGTTGTATTTATTATTTAGAACTAGTTTTAGTTTATTATTTTGATATCATTTTTATCGATATTAAGAACTGTAAAATTGTGTATAGTTAATTAATTAATATTATAACAGACTCCCTACTCTTACTACAATAAGCTATTGTAGGTATTAACATTAAATGTTAATTTAAATGTAAATATTATTATGAAGAAGTTGAAATAAATGATTATTATTATTAATTATAATTTAATATATATTATCTATATTACGAATATTTGTGTATTATAGTAAAAAATAAAATACATTATTTTATTACATATCGTACATTTTCAAGTGCCTAGAAATAATATTGTATTTGAATTACAACATAATACCTAACTAAAATAGTTATTACTTAATTGAATATTCATTTTTAGATTTGTATGTTTCTATATGAGCAAAATGTATGTGGAATTTCGTTTAAATTTGTTAAGCCCTAAATAATTACCTTTTTTGAAATTTTGAACTACATACCTAATAATTTAAAAGTTTTCTTGATATTGACAAATCTTAAAAAATCATAAAACTTTGAAGTGTATTATAAAAAAAAACCTAAAAAATTTTAAAATTTTAAATGCCTTTATAAGTAGCTTAAAATTAGTCTGAATATTTTAAAAATACCATTGTGTATGGAAAATGATAATTTGTTTAAGTTATAATGGAATGTCTTAAGTGTCTATGATTAATATTTTTAAATAATATAAATATGATAATTGTTTAATATTTAAACAAAACAACAAAAAACCATTAGAGGATGAATCGTTTTTATACGTTTAATTACGCCCATATATATCGTCAAAATGTTAACTCCAATGGCTCATAAAAAATGAGCGTGGCTTCGCACTAAACTTATAATTAATCATATTTTATTGATAAATAATTTATATATATCATTTTTTAACATTTTATTTGATATAAAAAAATATATAATATAAATGTCAACATATTTTGAACTTCACTTAATATATTACCTATATAAGCAAAATTACGGGAACACTCAATGTTTTGAAAATTAAAGTTCAAATGTTAAATAATAAAGTAGGTATTAAAATTTAATGAAATTGTATAGGTTCCTATACAGCCTTCAGTAACCTACCTTACACTCTTACATGAAACATATATATTGTTGACTTACATTATTTTTGAAAAATGAATTACTTGCTGTATCCTTAAGTATGAATGTTTAATATTATAATAAAAACGTTGAAATGTCATTATAATTTATTTAAGCTTTTGTATTTTTATGTCTTTTATACCCAATACCTAAAAATGCTATTATAAGTCATGAAAGAATATTAGGAATTAAAATATATTATTATCAATATGCTACAACGAGGTTTGGTTTATATTTTATTTTTTATTTAAGATTATATAATATTATTACTTGAATAGGTCTTTATACTAATATTGTGTAATATTTATATAGTTTTTCGATTGAACAAATATTTATAAACGGTATAGATAGGTACACAACGACAACTATACAATGCAAGTTACGAATATTATATGTTAAGTGAAATCGTAAATTGTAAGCTATATTATTTGATGAAATCTTAAGTGAGTTGTTGTTTACTGAAACTGTTCGAATTCGTAGTTTTTTTTAAATGATCATCAGTTGCCATCGTAAGACTGGATATATAATGTATATTATATCCTGTAAATGATGCGCTTCAGTTAATATGCGGAGGAAATCCTCGGCAGTCAACGTTAGGTATATATAATATTATATAATATAAGTACGGGATATAGTAATTAGGATTTCAATTTTCAATCACGCTACAGTCAGTTTGAGTAACAAGTACAATGTTAGAATACTATGTTTATATATACTAAAATGTACATACTATATATGTAATTGTCCTTGAAATAAAAAAAATATATATATAATACTTTTAAGGGTCCAACGATTATTCAGTGAACAATGAACTAGGTATACGTTTTAAAACTGGGTGGTTGAGAAGGTCCAAAAATCGTGTGTACTTAAATATATCTTAGGTACCATAACAAATCTGAAATCGTTAATACAAAATTAAAAAGGTGGTATAAAAAAATCAACTTACTGTAATTATAATAGTGAATACCTGTATGGCTGTATATTAAATACCTTTTAATAATATCAACGTGAACTATTATATTATTATTCTACGTTTAATAACCTGTTGAGTGTAAGTATTATTATGATCTTAACGTTTTAAAATTTGAACTGTGATTTAATATTAACGATAATATTATTAAGTTTGATTTATATATAATATATTGTATAGTACATTATGTTACTATAAATCATAATACATCAAATAAGTATAATATATGTAATATATATATATTATACATGAATCAAATAACAACTTGTATTCATAATGTGCAATTAATATATTTTGTAAAAAAGTTATTATAAGACCAAGTCATATTATATGGTAGCTGTATAAAAATGTATACAATTTGATGGCATATTAAAATTACAATATTACCATTTACAGTTTTTAAATTAAGACACCAATTATTAAATTCTAATAATGGACGTTAATCGACACAATAATATGGCATGCACTTGTTTAAAAATTGATATTTTTTTTACGATTAAAGTATGAATAATATCAGCTACTATATAAATATTGATATTATATTTTAAACAATATCTCATATTTTAATGAGTCAACCTATAATACTATTATGTTAACTTCATAAATAATTAAATAAACTACTAATTTGTATATAGATCGATTAAAATGTTTAACGGTTAAAAAATTAATTTTATACAATTCAATATAGGTTACAATATAGTAATTTAATATGTTTTCCAAGTTCAATAATATATATTTAATGTAACCTAACCGGTAAACCTTTAAACAGCTCAATAGAAATTTAAGTACTATGCATTTTAGAGAACATTTACACGCGATATATGGGTGTTGGTAAATTAATTGTATTTTTCACGAGGGCATTATTATGTATAGGTAAACCTTTCTTAACATGGACTTGAGCCTGTCATTGAGCAAACATGCATGCATAGACGTTTTATTTTGCTAATCTTTGGTATGTATTATATTTTATAGATACCTATTAATTATATTATAATCATACATTCATATTGCTATATTTTCTTTTTAAAATTACATGAAAGTACCTAACTAATAAATAACAATAGAAAGGTTTTTTTTTATAAATGCTATATTGCTGCTGGTTGTTAAAATATAATCGTGTCAGGGAATTTCCAAAAAAAAGTTTTAAAATTGTAAACAAGAGACTACTTGACTTGGATAAATGTTTTTAACATAAAAATTCTTCTTATAATCAGATGTACAAATTGGGAATGTCTAAAGTTGACATGGAGGTGATCGACCTCGAATCTACTTCCACCGTGGAGGCAGTATTGGCAGCTGTAAAAAGCGCCTTTGAGGTCTCCAACAAAGGGGACGCCTCAATACAGGCAGCTACTAACGAGATCACGATTACCACCATGTGGAGTTTAAAGAACTGACAGCAGGTGGCCAAACTGAGCGTGCCCAGGAAAGCCAAGCCCATGGATGCCCGCGCCAGGGTAGGATGGACCAGCTGCAGGCTCAGGATCCGCCGCCATGAGGCCACTAGGCGCTTCAAGTGCCATGGCTTCGGCCATACTCAAGGAAGCTGCTCGGGGCCAGACCTTAAGGACTCTTGCCGAAGATTCGGCTCCAAAGAACACAAGGAAAAGGACTGCACAGAGCCATCAAAGTGCGCAGCCTGAAACCGAGCGGGTCTCAAGTCAGGGCAGCACAGACCCGGCACTGCAGCCTGCAAAGCCAGGTACGTGGCTGAGTCCTGGCGCTCAAAAAACCGCCGTAATGATTAACTTCCTGCAAGTTAATCTGAACGGGTGCTGGGCCGCCCAACAGCTCCTGGATATGCGGATAATGGATGAACCCCAGAACGGGAATTCGAGAGCGGCGGGCTCACGAAGAGGAGGTTACCGGTACGAGTATTCCAAGACGACTGGCTTCTGCCGGTCCGCGAAGATGACACTCAAGAGCTACTCTCTAGTTATAAAACTAACAAACTACTATTACAAACTTACTATATTCTGCCGTTACTAAAATCAGTTAAAATTTAAAACAAAATGTTAAAGTTTAAAAATGAGTTGGATATCGTGCACACACTAATTTATATACATTGAAATGTTTAAAATTTAAATTATCCACTAGTATAGTATTATTGGGCCCCCCAAATATTTATAAACGCAAAGAAGACTACAATAAAATTTTTTTTTGCTATGTTTGTGTTTATTTATACTTTAACTTTTAAGTTTTTACTATAAGTGTTCAGAGAATGTACGGAGAACGCTCAAACTTTTATGGGAGATTTAAATAAATATGTATATGATATCAACAATATTTATTAAAAATATTTATTATGAAGACATCCAGTACAGTTTCATTTAACCAAGATGTTATTATTCAAAATTATAATGATTAATTATACGTATTAGGTGCCTATATAATATTCTAACAAAATATGATAACACTTGTATACATTAATTATATTATACCTTCCATAGTTAATTATTATATTTTATATTATATTATATTTTATATTATATTATATTTTATATTATATTATATTTTATATTCTGAATATTAAATTATTTTAAAATACAAAAAAACTAAAATATCATAAAAATGGGATTCAAATACGAATCCCATCGTGAAATATATAGGCGTGCTATATCTATGGGTATATTAAACAGAATATAGCTAAATGTTTCAACTTTTATTTTGAATACATACATAATCGCTAATATAACGTAAATCGAATTTACAATAAGCATTTATTCAGTACCTATATTTCTAAGTATATCTGAATGTATTATATTATAGCTACGTATAATATATCAAAGTGAAATAGTATATAACATCTAAAGCTGATACTTTATATTTATACTTTATCATTATTATTTTATTATATACTTAAATATATATTTATATTATTAGATACTTATTTACATATATAATTTTTTACTTTTTAATTTTTATGTTTGAAATAAGATATTAAAATAATAAGTAGGGACTACACTCATTTAGTTTAATTTCATTATTCACTGGATTATCCGGTATGAATCACATATTCACACGTGAAAGTTATATTTTGTCGAGTCACATTTTCTAATAAATACATGTTAAAAAAATTAAAAACTTACAATAATGTATATTAACTGTTAGACGTTAGTATTATTACATACATTTGTATACTTTAATTTTGAATAACGGGATATTTCGGATTTCCATATGTGGAAATGAAGAAAATCATACTAAAAAAATATAACATTTTAATGTCACCACTCACTGTCTAGTTTAAGAAATCGATAGTACCTAGTAACAGTACAGAATTTGAGACGTATAAAATATTACTATACAATCTATTATCTTCATATAAAGTATATAGGTTACAGGTAATATGTAATTAATTTATTTAGTATTTAAAGTGCATTAACATAGTATGTATTATATATTACAAGCTTTTAAATAGTTAAATAAATTATAGTTACTTATCTTAGATAAATATCATTAAAAAATCTAATAGTATATTATATAATAGACCGAGATCAAGTGTTTAGTATTCACTCATCGATGACTTCCCACGCAAAATATTGGTGTGTTAAAACAACAAGTCATTCTAAACGGAGTGTTACTAGGAATATTTAAAAACGTATGATGTTACCCTTAAATAAATAATATTAATTATGATAAAACATTTTAAACGTCTATTAAAATATACAGCAATGAATAATATACGAGTAGGTAACCTTGTATTAAAATGTCACTTAAAGCTGGTATTATGCGCAGGGTACGTTAAATCATGATGTACTTACTATTAATGTAATAACGTAAGAAAATAATAGTTAACCTAATTTTGAAACAAACTCTAAATTTCGGTTAATTTAATTTAACCAGATACTGCTTATATTAGACATTTTTGTAGAATTGTCGGGTACGACATTACACATTATTCTTGTGTCCTTGAAGGTTTGAAGTTCTTGAATTAAACCATAGGTACATTAGTAAATTATTTATTCTTATACTATAATTTTAATGATTTTTTTTATGATATACCATGCTGTCTGCAGTTTGATTTCTTATCAAACTAGTTACAAATTTTTTTCCAAAAAAATCATGTACCGACCAGGTGGTGACCTATATTACAAAAAGTATATTGCAATTATTTTAACTCCGCGATCATACAATAATATTATGTCAATACCTTATATCTGGAAATCTACTTAAACCCCAAATGTAGGGTTTATCTAAGCGCATGTAACCTAGAACATTCTGACAATATTTTTCTATAATTGATTTCCCGATGTATAATAATTCATATTTGTAAACATCTATAATAAACCTACGTCTTATCTGTTACGTATACAATCGGACCATCGTTAAATATTATTTCGGGTTTCGGTTCATTATGTACAAAGTAACATTTGCAAAGTTACGTTATCTTTATGCGTCATTCCAAACATCTATAGACATTTTACAGATAAGTGTTATTTTTATATTATGTTATATCTCGTGGCTTGTGCAGTTTTATAGTTTGTATCTACGTCTTGTACAAATATGCATAATATTATGTTTAAGAGGACGTCACACCCGCAAGTGTTGTCTCAGTCTTACAAATGTACAACATAGCAAAAACTGTTTTGCGAGGGACAACTTTTATCTTTCTGTGTTTGTATAGTAGTGGCTCCAAAATTTCTGAACATATAGGGTAGAAAATTATCCATGCCTATATATTTTAGATAAAATAATAAGTAATATAATAAAAGTTATTTGCTTCTAAACATTTGGTTTTTGGTTTTTTTTTTTCATTTTCTTATAAAAAATTATTGGATAGTGATATTAAAAAAAAAAGCACATGCAGATAAAGTTCTTCTTTGCGTGTTGTGAAAATTTGGTAGTTCTACAAAAAATATGGTGCGAGAAAATTTGTCCAGCTCAAAACACTTTTTGTTATGTTGTACATTTGTAAGACGGAGTCAGACGTTTTGCAAGTAGGACGTCCTCTTAATGTGTAATGGATAGATGTATAATCCTGCTTATACATAAGCTACTAAACATATTATTATAACTGCCTAATCATATAAAAATTATTTAAGATATTTCACAATCCATTTTTCCATTTTGGTACCTAGGTAATTGCAAATAAAAATATTTTTTAAAAGATACCCAACAACTAAACCTTGACTCAACACTTATTTAAGTGCGCTCTTAAATTCTGAACTTTTAACGTTTGACATGAGTCGTATGAAAAGTTTATTATGAAATATGAGTACTTAACAAACTGCATTTACAATAAAGTAATACGTGCATTGCTCAAGGGCACATGAATTAGTGTAATATTTTCATCAAAAAAGGTTTTAAATAGACAGTAAGATACTCCTTTATATACCTACTACATAAAAAAGATTGCAAAAGATTAAATTGGTTTATTATAAAAAAAAAAGAACAAATTTAAAATTCTTCATAAATCATTTAAACAATTTAATAATGTTATAAATGTTAGTTTAACAACAGTCGTATATAAAATATTATATTTAGTGCTTACCACATAGGTAAATAAATAATGAGGTTGAATTAAAAAACGTCAAATTTATCTCAAAACTACCAGTCCTAAGGACATAGTCTAATTATATTAAAATATAGTTTTTAATTTACCAGAAACTATAAACAAATAATTACTATGCGTCTATGCATAGCCAAATATAATTGTATTATTTTTGAATAATATAATTCTCAAAATTACTTAAAATACTGTTTATTTTACAGGTTACTTAGTATTATCGAATAGAAAATAAGTGAACAAAATAATTTCATAATATTAATTATAACTAAAAATAGATTATAATTATGCATGTTATAGTAATAACAACAATACATGCTATTATATATTATACTATGTATTTACTATTTATATATTATGTACCTACCTGAAATATAAAATAAGACCATAAAATATTAATGAGGGAGATACAATATGCTTGTTGAATATCTACCCTATTTTATTTTTATTTCGAAAAAATGTGTTCTAGCTGTACGGTGACTATAATACTTGTATGTAATAGTCCAAATATATAAACCATGTGTAATATACGGTTTTGGATTCTAAAAAAAATACTACAAATTTTACAGTTTTTACTTTTTAGTGTTTTGTAGGGTATACGGGATACTAGACGGAATGTTTTAGAAAAAATAATGCATAAATATTTTATAGAATGGATTCGGATATAAGAATATAAAACGCACGAGTTGTTTGGTCTGGCGCCTTAGTGGCAATAAAATATAGGGTAGGTGCCTACCAGAACTTAAATAATGGCCCAGGTACAAAACGAAAAATGATTGTCCTGCAGACCCTCGCGGTGTCCAGCATACATAATGCCCCTGCTGGGTTTTCTACTTTTGTGCGAGACCTATTGTGCATCCCGAGAATAATAAATTCATGTTACACGACGAGGAATAACAATAATAATTGTACATCGCACCGGAATAGGTACGTATAGGTTATAATATTATTATTCCTTAGTAATTCCGTTCCGTTTCAACGCGCGCGCACAGCGTAGATATTATGCAAATTAGAAATATAAATCTGTTTTTATTTAATAATTGTATAATATTATTAAAATGTCGCTGATCGGTTATTTTGTCACGGGACGCCAAAACTCGTTTAATTCCAATAATCATTCCAATGCCATCACGCAGGTGGTAACTCGATACGATCGTCGTGTCCGCGTTTGTGATTTTGTTTCACTGCACGCCATATGGGTAAACGCATTGGCGTCTACCCGATGACAACAATATGAATATATATCGGTCAGTCTGATGATAATATAAGTTCGTGAGTCACATACCTTACTCACGTTTAGGTACAAAGACAACGGAGTGAATAATATTATTATTTATTATTATGAATATTGTGTCTGACCTAACGGGTCGTTATTACTTCTTGTATGCCCAATATTATATTGTTATATTATACTTTACAGTTTTTATATTTTCTCTATCAATTTTTAATATAGACGCTGTAGATATCGTGTGCACCACAACAT